AATTAAAACGCATCAGTGTAAACGGGGCCTTAGTGTGTGTGTGTGTGTGTGTATGTATGTGTGTGTGTGTGTGTGTGTGTGTGTGTGTGTGTGTGTGTGTGTGTTTCTACAGGTTTTTCTTGATAATGACAGTGTGAAGGATGTGATCGGTGTAATTCTGGCCTTCGGGAACTACATGAATGGTGGAAACCGAACCCGTGGACAAGCGGATGGATTTGGACTGGAGATTCTGCCTAAATTAAAAGACGTCAAGAGCAGGGTAACCAAAAGCAAACACACCCAAAGCTGCACTAAATATACGGTTGGAGTCAGAATTATTCGCCCCCCTTTTGATTTTTTTTTCTTTTCTAAATGTTTCCCAAATGATGTTGAACAGATTCAGGAAATGTTCACAGTGTGTCTGATAATAATTGTTTTTCTGGAGAAAGTCTGATTTGTTTTATTTCGGCTAGAATAAAAGCAGTTCTTAATTTTTTAAGCCATTTTAAGGTCAATATTATTCGCCCCTTCAAGCTATATTTGTTTTCGATAGACTACAGAACAAACCACTGTTATACAATGACTTGCCTAATTACCCTAACTTTACCCTAATTACCCTAACCTGCCTAGTACAACTAAGCCTGGTTTCTACTTCTGCGTCAAGTGACCGGCATAACCCACAGCGCATGCAACGCGCGTAGCTGAGCATTTATACATCTGCGCGCTGTCTCTGTTGGTCTGCATTAACACTTCCAAAACGCTAGTTGGCAGTGAGGTGTAAATGTTCCTCTGTGTCGAGTTTCTTTGCTGATGTTTTGCTTTTCCTCATAGATATATACATTAGATGTCGCCTGGCCTATTGTTGTCTATTGGACGGAATGCGTCAATAGCGCCGCCATCTTGGTACAGGGTAGTGCTCCTTTGAAATGAATGCGGGACCAAGCTGCAGTGGAGGACTGTGGCCATCCAGAGCCAGAGATATACACATATACACATATATCTATGATCGGGAGTTTTCCTGGATGTTAGTATGTTATTTTATTTATTACGAAAATTATAATTTTACATCACTTTTCTACATTGATGGATCAGTGACCGCACGGGCATTCCTGACATAAAGCTTGTGTTTGTGTGTACAGAAATGTACTATTCACCCTCCCTGTTAAATTTGACCTAATCATGTCCTGAAACACACCTCCTCTCCTGCTTTCACTTCTCATACTGACGGAGGGAGCGATTCGCTTGTGAATGAATCTCCGTTATGAACGACTCGTTCACTAGCCGACAATAATACAAGTTTCTGGCAGCGCAGCATCTCATTGTCATGTTTCTTTTGCATTGTTTGCTGATTTTATTCAACAAAACTAGCATAAGCCGAGTGTTTAGTGTGAGTTGGAGCTGCTTTGCCGTATGGTGAATGCAGTAAGTGACTGTTATCATCAATAATGTTACCTGATTAGCACAAAAGTTCAGAACATACAAAAACAGAAAAAAACTTTATCTTACCTATGCAATGTTTTCCCTTTGTGCTTTGTTTTCTTTGTTTGCTCGTTACTACACCCGTAGACAGCGCTAAAGTCCCGCATCTTCACGTAATAACACTGTCCTGACTAGTGCGGTTGAATGACATTTGTCCTGGGAGCACTGTACCAATGTGGCGGCGCTATTGACGCATGCTCAGGGTCCCTATGCAATATCTAGTGCATATATCTATGGCTTTTCCTGATTACTTCCTGGACGTACAAGTGGCTCAAACTCGCTCATTTTGAGACAAAACAAAACTTTCCATCCGGAGCTCCTTCACGGGACTCCACACTTATAAACAATCGCTGCATCAGGCTCGCGCGGCGTCGCGCCATTCGCACGGCTTTCGGTCCCGCCCAGACTCGTCAGCGCTACCAAGCCGACCAATCAAAGAGCTTGCGCTACGCGTCATTGCGACGTGATGTTACATTTTTTGAGAGGTGCACGTCAGCAATGCCCACGGCCACGGCATAGGGCTATGCGTCAGCGCCATAGCATACGCGTGCGCTTGACACAGAAGTATAAATCAGCCTTTACCCTAATTACCCTAGTGAAGCCTTTACATGTCACTTTAAGCTGTATAGAAGTGTCTTGAAGAATATCTAGTCTAATATTATTTACTGTCATCATGACAAAGAGAAAATAAATCAGTTATTAGAGATGAGTTATTAACACTGTTAGGATTAGAAATGTGCTGAAGAAATCTGCTCTCTGTTAAACAGAAATTGGGGAAAACAGTAAACAGGGCGGCGAATAATTCAGGGGGGCGAATAATTCTGACCTCAACTGTTTGTCATTTTACAGACAGATTCTGTGCCTGAGCTGAATGTTTTTGCATGCAAGTGAATATATGCTAATTAAAATGTTATATTTATATTTCATCTTATATCATATCATACATATATAAAGAATTCTTTCATATTGACAGCAAGAATACTCCACTGTAAAAAATACCTGTAAATTGGCAGTTTTCCGTGTTTTGAGATTCATGCATTATGGGATTTTCATCTTTCCTCCAACAACTTTAAAACCTTGTAAAGTAGTGTAAAGTGTGTGTTCTGCACATGTGTAATGGTCTGCAGTGCTGTATTGTGTGTGTTGGTGTTGTACATTACGCTGCAGAAACCTTGTAATAAACTGCAGCACATTTACTGTTATTCTACACATGTATATCTCTAGATATTAGCCATGATGTTAACTATTTTCTCTACTCTTCAGGACAATCGTATGAGTCTGGTGGATTATGTGGTTTCATACTACCTGCGAAACATGGACGAGGTACTGAATTTGTTTTTATTTTATTCTTTTTACTTTACCCTTGTGTGCTGTTGGGTCATTTTCATCCACTCTGGGCTGATTTTGAGGCTTAATTTGGCCACAGCTTTCTCTGTTCTTGAGCAAATGTGATGATTCTAGCTGACAAACCTGATTTTGACACGTATTTAGTAAGGGTGTGACGAGATGCTTACTCCACAAGACAAGACGAGACGTGAGATTGGGCTCACGAGAACGAGACGAGATTTTTTTACTATTTTTAAGAAATCTTCAATGATGAAAGTTCTGAATGGAAAATATAATTTTATTTTACACATATTGCAAAACTATTTAGGTGTTTCTTTTTCAATCAACTTTTAATTAATGTTATTTAACTTCTATTTTAATTAATTCAATGCAGTAAAGGACATGCAAACGCTGCGAAATATTTTGCTAATAGCCTACGTGAATGAAAAATAGTAAACATTAGCAAAATATTAGCTGATATATGGATGGAAATGGCGAGGCAGTGGCGCAGTAGGTAGTGCTGTCACCTCACAACAAGAAGGTCGCTGGTTCGAACCTCGGCTTAGTTGGCGTTTCTGTGTGGAGTTTGCATGGGTTTCCTCCGGGTGCTCCGGTTTCCCTCACAGTCCAAAGACATGCTGTACAGGTGTATTGGGTAGGCTAAATTGTCCATAGTGTATGAGTGTGTGTGTGTGGATGTTTCCCAGAGATGGGTTGCAGCTGGAAGGGCATCCGCTGTGTAAAAACTTGCTGGATAAGTTGGCGGTTCATTTCGCTGTGGCGACCCCGGATTAATAAAGGGACCAAGCCAACAAGAAACTGAATGAATGAATGGATGGAAATAGAAAAATATCTGCAAAACAATTTAGGTGCTTTTTAAATAATGAGTACTGAATGGTATTTTATTTCTATTTTTTCTGTTTTTATGAATTCTATGCAGTAAATGACATCCCCTGTACAGTTTAAATGTAAAATTCAGGTAATTTTTGGTATTTCATTTTAATTTTTTTAGCAGTTTTACTTTCATTCAGCAAGATTTCAGCCCTCGTCACAAACTCTGAGCTACTGAATGCAAATATAAAGTGAGGACTGATAGGAGAGAGTTGTTTTGATGTAATTTAATACCGCACGCCGACAGCATAAACGTGTGTTTGGTGATGATGAAGGCTTGTGTCTTTATAAAAAGGTAACACACGCTCTCTGTCCTAAAGAGTAATGCTAAAATAAAGTATATGTTCACTCACCGGCCACTTTATTAGGTACACCTTACTAGTACCGGGTTGGACCCATTTTGCCTTCAGATCTGCCTTAATCCTTTTCATTCAGCAAGCTACTGGAAATATTCCTCAGAGATTTTGCTCCATATTGACATGATAGCATCACACAGTTGCTGCAGATTTGTCGGCTGCACATCCATGATGCCAATCTCCCGTTCCACCACATCCCAAAGCTGCTCTATTGGATTGAGCTCTGGTGACTGTGGAGGCCATTTGAGTACAGTGAACTCATCGTCATGTTCAAGAAACCAGTCTGAGCTGACAGGAGCGGCACCCGGTGTGGTCTTCTGCTGCTGTAGCCCATCCGCCTAAAGGTTGGACGTGTTGTGTGTTCAGAGATGCTCTTCTGCAGAGCTCGGTTGTAACGAGTGCTTATTTGAGTTACTGTTGCCTTTCTATCAGCTGGAACCAGTCTGGCCATTCTCCTCTGGCATCAACAAGGCTTTTGCGCCCACAGAACTGCCGCTCACTGGATATTTCCTCTTTGTCGGAGCATTTTCTGTAAACCCTAGAGATGGTTGTGCGTGAAAATCCCAGTAGATCAGCAGTTTCTGAAATACTCAGAGCAGCCCGTCTGGCAGCAACAACCATGCCACGTTCAGAGTCTCTTAAATCCCCTTTCTTCCCCATTCTGATGCTACCAGATCCTCTTGACCATGTCTACATGCCTAAATGCAGTGAGCTGCTGCCATGTGATTGGCTGATTAGACATTTGCATTAACGAGCAGTTGGACAGGTGTACCTAATAAAGTGGCCGGTGAGTGTAAATTGTTTTTAATGGGACAATAGTATAAGGATATGTTGTTGTTGTGTTCCAGAATGCAGGCACAGATAAGAGTGTTTTTCCGCTGCCTGAACCTCAGGATCTCTTCCACGCCGCACAGGTCAAGTTTGAAGATCTGGCAAAAGATCTTCGCAAGTTAAAGAAAGAGCTGACAGGTATGAAGATCATCTGTACTGCTGATTTAATGCCAGAGGGAAACAACACATGCAGTTAGATACAGTCCCACAAGATAGCAAGATATAAGGGGCCAGATATTTATCAATATTGTTAGATCAGAGTCATGATGTTATTTAGACTGTTTTGCTGATGGTTTCAGTGGTTTGGATGAAAATTTGACTCCAGAACGTGTGTTTTAGCATTTTAAACATTTTCTTCACAACACAAACCTGTAAAAATAAATGAACCGAGAGATGTTCAGATTGATTCACTCGTTGGTTTAGTGACTCCACTAGTTCAGTGAGTCGTGGGTTTAGCTGATTCATTAGATAATACAATTGACCAGAGTATGTTTAATGATTCACTGATTGGTTTATTGACTTCAATAGTTCAGTGAGTCAATTATTAAACTGATTCATTATAATAATACAGTTGACCAGAGCATGTTTAGTGATTCAGTGATTGGTTTAGTGACTCCAATAGTTCAGTGAGTCATTTATTAAACTGATTCATTAGATAATACAGTTGACCAGAGCATGTTTAATGATTCAGTTATTGGTTTAGTGACTCCAATAGTTCAGTGAGTCATTTATTTTACTGATTCATTATATTAATACAGTTGACCAGAGCATATTTAGTGATTCAGTGATTGGTTTAGTGACTCCAATAGTTCAGTGAGTCATTTATTTAACTGATTCATTATAATAATAGAGTTGACCAGAGCATGTTTAGTGATTCAGTGATTGGTTTAGTGACTCCAATAGTTCAGTGAGTCATTTATTAAACTGATTCATTATATTAATACAGTTGACCAGAGCATGTTTAGTGATTCAGTGATTGGTTTAGTGATTCCAATAGTTCAGTGAGTCATTTATTTAACTGATTCATTATAATAATAGAGTTGACCAGAGCATGTTTAGTGATTCAGTGATTGGTTTAGTGACTCCAATAGTTCAGTGAGTCATTTATTTAACTGATTCATTATAATAATACAGTTGACCAGAGCATGTTTAATGATTCACTCACTGGTTTAGTGACTCCAATAGTTCAGTGAGTCATTTATTTAACTGATTCATTATATTAATACATTTGACCAGAGCATGTTTAATGATTTACTCATTGGTTTGGTGACTCCAATAGTTCAGTGAGTCATTTATACAATGATTCATTATAATAATACAGTTGACCAGAGCAGGTTTAATGATTCACTCTCTGGTTTAGTGACTCCAATAGTTCAGTGAGTCATTTATTAAACTGATTCATTATAATAATACAGTTGACCAGAGCATGTTTAGTGATTCAGTGATTGGTTTAGTGACACCACTAGTTCAGTGAGTCATTTATTAAACTGATTCATTAAATAATACAGTTGACCAGAGCATGTTTAGTGATTCACTCATTGGTTCAGTGACTACAATAGTACAGTGAGTCGTTTATACAATGATTCATTATAATAATACAGTTGACCAGAGCATGTTTAGTGATTCACTCATTGGTTTAGTGACTACAATAGTTCACATGAGTCATTTATTTAACTGATTCATTAGATAATACAGTTGACCAGAGCATGTTTAATGATTCACTGATTGGTTTAGTGACTTCAATAGTTCAGTGAGTCATTTATTAAACTAATTCGTTATACTAATACAGTTGACCAGAGCATGTTTAATGATTCACTGATTGGTTTAGTGACTTCAATAGTTCAGTGAGTCATTTATTAAACGTATTTATTATACTAATACAGTTGACCAGAGCATGTTTAATGATTCACTTATTGGTTTAATGACTCCAATAGTTCACATGAGTCATTTATTCAACTGATTCATTAGATAATACAGTTGACCAGAGCATGTTTAATGATTTACTCATTGGTTTAGTGACTCCAGTAGTTCAGTGAGTCATTTATTTAACTGATTCATTATATTAATACAGTTGACCAGAGCATGTTTAGTGATTCAGTGATTGGTTTAGTGACTCCAATAGTTCAGTGAGTCATTTATGCAATGATTCATTATAATAATACAGTTGACCAGAGCATGTTTAGTGATTCACTGATTGATTCAATGTTTTTATGCTTTATTTTAAATCGACTGAATTAGTTTTTTTTTTAAACAGACAGTGTGTTTTAGTGTATTAAACATTGTCCAGTGTAGGAAATGAGTGACCCGATCATGTTGATCACACCGTCTGTCATTTAACATGCACTTAAAAGCAATGTATTTCCATGTAAGGGTTTGGACTATAGCTTGAGCTCCGAGGTCAAAGGTCACGCCCCCCCAAGCCCCCGGTGTCTGCAATTATTTAAATCAGCCAATAACACGGCATATGAAAGCAATTAGATATGCTCTCTGCTCATTCCCCTCCATTTGAGAATCGCTGTTAAAAACTCTGATCCTCAGTGACCCGGGGGAAAAACACAGAACGCCTACAAAAAAGCGCTGCCGCCCCACCTCGAGCTGTCTGTCACTCATTTATTAGCACACCAATGCAGGACAATAAATACAGAAACAAGGGCCTTCGCATTTGATCCGCACCACAAGAAAAGTCTCGGCTGCGAGTCCTCGGGCGTTTGGTTTTGGAGCGTTTGTGCGCTGGACGGCAGCAGACAGGGATAAATATTTATGCCGCGCTATCATAAAGAGCTCCAAGTGTTCCTAATTATTCCTGCAGTCATTTCTGTTTAAAAGTGAGAGTCGGAGCTGGTGGAGAAAGTCACAACGACAGCTTCTGGATTCAGATTTAAGCTCTGAAATACATCAAAAATACACTGAAATATGAGCTATATCTGACTTAAAGCATTATTTTATTAGTAGTATTAATAGTAGTAGTAAGAGAATTGTTCAGATTGTTTAACTGTGTCATTTATTGAAGTGATTCATTAAAATGATTCAGTTGACCAGAGCTTGTTTTTTTTAATTATTCCCTAATATTTGATTTTATAAAGAGTTTTTATGCATAAAACAAATACCTTTTTACAACACATGTGACAAAAAAGCATTAATATTATTAGTAGTAGTAGTAGTTACTCACCAAAATCTCAGCTAGTGAACTGTTTGAATTGGTCAGATTGATTCACTGAGTCATTTATTGAAGTGATTCGTTAAAATATAAAATAAACAGCTGATCAAATCATGTTTCAATAATTATTTCATATAATTTGACCCAAAAAGAGTTGTAAAGCATGAAAAACAAATACATTTTTACCTAAAAGAAAGATTTTTACATGAACATTTATGTGTTTGATGAATACCATATGAATCATACCGTTGATCAAAGCATATTTCGATAATATTCCCTATTTCTTGACTCCATAAAGAGTTTTTAAGCATAAAACAAATACATTTTAAAACATATCTGACAAAAAAGCATCATTATTTTTAGTAGTAGTAGTAGTAACTCATCAAATCTCAACTATTGAATCATTCAGATTGATTCACTTATTGAAGTGATTCATTAAAATATCAATTAAAACCATTGACCAGAGCATGTTTCAATAATTTTTCCATATTATTTTACCCAAAAAGAGTTTTAAAGCATTCAAAACTAATACTTTTTTACCTAAAAGAAAGATTTTTACATAAACATTTGATGAATACCATTTAATCTAGAAGAAACAGCTGACAAAAAGCATTATTTTAATCAATATTCTTATTATTTGTAGTATTTACTCATCAAATCTCAGCTAGTGAATTGTTTGACTGGTTCAGATTGGTTCACTGAGTCATTTATTGAAGTGATTCATTAAAATGATTCAGTTGATTAGAGCATGTTTCGGTAATTATTTGACTTCATAAAGAGTTTTAAGCATAAAGCATATACATTTTACAACATATGTGACAAAAACATTATTATTATTATTATTATTATTATTATTAATATTATTATTAATATTATTATTATTTTAAGTAGTAGTAGTAGTAACTCACCAAATCTCAGCTAGTGAATTGTTTGAATTGTTTAGATTGATTCACTGAGTCATCTATTGTGATTAATTAAAATATCAATTGAAACAGTGGACCAGAGCATGTTTCACTAATTATAACATTATTTCACCCAAAAAGAGTTGTAAAGCATAAAAAACTAATACTTTTTTTATCTACAAGAAAGATTTTTACATAAACATTTATGCATTTGATGCATTCTCAGCTAGTGAACTGTTTGAATTATTCAGATTGATTCACTGAGTCATTTATTGAAGTGATTTGTTAAAATGATATAGTTAACCAAAAAGTATGTTTATTCATTCATTCATTTTCTTGTCGGCTTAGTCCCTTTATTAATCCGGGGTCGCCACAGCGGAATGAACCGCCCCAAAAAGCATGTTTTGTTTATTATTCCGTATTATTTGAGTCCATAAAGAGTTTTTAAGCATAAAACAAATAATTTTTCACAACATATCTGACTGAAAAGCATTTTATAATTATTATTAGTAGTAGTAGTTGTAGTAGTAACTCATCAAATCTTAGCTAGTGCATTTTTTGAATTGTTCAGATTGATTTACTAAGTCATTTATTTAAGTGATTTATTAAAATCATACAGTCCATCAGAGCATGTTTCAATAATTTTTCCATATTTTTGGTCTCCATAAAGAGTTTTTAAGCATAAAAAACGAATTATAAACACATTATTTGTATAAAGGTTGTTATTATTATTTGTAGTAGTACTATTTTAGACATTATCCATTATCAGAGAAAGCAGATGAGTCGTCCAGCTCGTAGTGTGTGTGTGTGTGTTTAAGAATTTGTGTTTGCTGATTTTACACCCGTGGTGTGTGACATGGCCTGCTGGAGGGTCGCGACACAGGTCAGTCTCAGGGGCTACTTATATGTCTGAAAATGGATCCGCAGATGCCCTGAGACACGAAACCTGATCTCCATTTGGGCTCGTTCACCCTCGTCAGGGTTAAAGCAGTTTCAGACCTACTGTTCATTCTGATGCTGCTGATGGATTTACTCAACTAAATCTTCTCTCTGTCAGATAATGTCCAGTCAGTCAGTGT